AAGTACTAAATTTAGAAAACCGTTACCAAGCCGATATTCCCTCTATAGTACTGGTAATAATGCACAATAAAAATAACAAAAAAATACTCTTTCCCTACCCCTCATAGCATTATCATTTAAATTAGCTAAATCTTTTTGAGTGCATTATTTTTAATTCACCGATTTGTCGTGAACATACAGATAAAAAGAAAATAAAAACTGCTGTTGAGATTCCCTTTTGACAAACATGACGGTCATGAATAAAACATGCAGTTGAATTCTCACACATTAGAAATTTCATATTGAAAAACAATCAAATCAGATAAGCATAAAAAAGCTTTACTTTTAATAAGTGCAGAATTAAGAAGTAATGGGATAGCTTTGGGGTGTTCTATGCAAAGGAAGCTGTATTCCTACGTCTCTGCTAAAGGTGGGAGCATCTATTATTTTTCTACATGAGCATAAAAGCAGAATCAACACCATAAAACAACTTTGTATTTTTAAAGTCTCATTTATTATCTGCATTTGTGCATTGATGACGTAATAACAAATAGTACTGGATGCAAACAATGTGTTTCTTATAGACTCTTTATTACTAAATAAAAAGGAATCTTACTCTTACATAGCCAGCTATAAGAAAAAGGATACTAATTAAAGTGTGTTATCCAATGAACCTTGCATTGAGTGATGGGCTGCCTTCCAAACACATACACAGGATGCAAACGCATCCCACGAAGAACAAAAGCAGTCCTGATAGAAAAATGTAAAATCAACTACACTTCAGGTTATCTATAAACTATAAAAAGCAAGCGGTTTATTTAAAATCTCCCTACAGTAGGGGGAAAGAGTAGAACTCAAAACACACCTCATATGTACATTTAATATAAATAAATTTAAAACAAAATGAATCTGGAAATTGTGATATTTCTGCCACACCCCCAGGATGCCTATATACTAATTAGTATACAGTGTTTCTGTAGTAAATTCCATCCCAAAGTTCTTTGGCTGCCTTTAGCCATGGAACACTAATTCAGAGACAAAATAGCAGGTTTGAATTTATTTTACATAGGCATAGACTAACAGCAATCTAAGTCCCTGGGCAAAAGCAGCTCTTGGGACCCTTGAAGGCCAGTACTACTGGTTGTCAATTTCCATCCCTAAATGAGCCTCAGCACCATTTCCACCCTACTTGTATTCCCGCCCCCCTTTAACCTTCAAATTTATATCGCGGTCTCCTAACCCTCATATCACTTCCTTATATTTAATCTCCTATCCTTAATTCAATAGCCAAGTGTGTTCCTGGTGAAATGCATGGGACTCTTTTCTCAGCAAAACTGTCTGATTATGGTTCCAACAAATAGGTAGTGTGTATGGATAAAAAGGGAAGAGAGAGTACATTAAGCCATGTTCCCACATCCTCACAAGCAAAACTACAGCATCTTGGACCCATCTTGAAGCAACCTGGTAGAGGACAGAGATTTACATTATGAAAGGCACACTATAAATGGTACTGCACATGATACTTGCCTGAAATGATGGAATTCTGTCTACGATTAACTTGATTAAATGTCTGTAGGCTAAAGTCCTTGCTTTATAGTTATTGAATCTTGTAAATATTGCACAACTATGTTTTCTAAAGCTATACACAGTAGATATTTTGCTAACTTCCCAAAAAAATAAAAATACATGTTAAAAAAATCATATGGTCAGATTCACAGAAAACGGACTGCCTGGTAATAAGGCGACACAAAGGGACTTGTGGTAAAAGTTTATTTTACATTTAAAATATTTAAATCTTTTCACATAGTTTTTCTATTCATACAAGCTTTTATTTTAATGCAATTTAAGTATTTGAAATGCTATCTAAAAACATTTGTCATTAATATTCTACAATAAAATCTTTACATGTAAAGAAATATTCACTGACAGCGTGCCAATTTTGCCTATTGCAATAGCCTATATCAGGGGTAGGCAACCTACGGCACTAGTGTCATGCACGGCACTCGAGGTGCCTTTGCACGGCACTCAAGGCTGCTAGAGCTAAACAGGCTCTGGCCTATCAGGAGTCCCAGTAAAACATCAGATATCTGCTAATCCGAAAAGGTGGTGAAGGACAATCCTCAATTTATGCATCACGTAGAGGAAGTTATCTCAGATCACTTCCTCCCAGCACTTGTGAATGGGAATCCACACAGTAGTAGAGCAGCATGCAGTTGTCCTTGACATGTACCTGGCCGGCCTGGTCCCCACTGCAACCCAGGGAAGTCACCCACACTGCTAGATTTACACAGAAATGCAGAATAACCCTCCCCTCATACAAATAGTACGGACAGCCCACACACAAACATACACACAATCTGCAACACCACTAACAATCCACATACATGCATACAACCCCACATGCAATACCCCAATAAGCCCCCACACACAATGTGACATATCCATCCACACACACAATTCAACAAGCAGCCCCCATAAACAGCTTACATTCATATGTATCATACACAATACCATAAACTACTCATGAACATGTACAATATAATAGCTAATATACGCAGGGCCGTCTTTAACACAGGGCAAACAGGGCAGCTGCACTATTTCCGCTGGCCTCAACTATTTCTTACCTCCCGGCCGGTAATCCGCACACTAAGGAGGCCCACCGGGTGGCCCTTTGTGCATGGGGTCTGGTTGCGCGCTGAGGCGCTTTACCAGCGCGAGCGGGCCCCTTGCTTTTCGGCAGCAGGCTGGGAGGAAGGGACGGCCGTGCATCACTTCCTCCCACAAAGAGAGGAACGCGCGGGAAAGAAGAGTAGGCAGAGTGGAGGGGGGCTGGCCGAGGGAGCCAGATCCCACCTCCCAACACCTTCAGCCACCAGCAGGAAAGGTAGGAAACTGGAGGGTGGGTTTTAAAGGGTAAATTTGGTGTGTGTTAGTATGCTTGTGTGTGTGTGTCATTAAATCTGTGTGTGTCATTATATCTGTGTGTGTGTGTGAGTGTGTTAGTATGTCTGTGTGTGTCAGCATGTCTGTGTGTGTCAGCGTTGGGGTGGAGGATGTGATTGCACGCCTGGGGAGGGGGGACAGGGTCCAGGGGGCCCCAAGCAAATGCTTTGCCCAGGGTCCAGTCAATATTAAAGACGCCCCCTGCATATACGCACATATACAACGATACAAAGCAATTACAGTAAAAATAACAAGCAGAATACAGCAGCATACACACCTCAATTTAAAAAAAATAGGACCGCACGCTACAGGACATCGCAATCCTATATCGGCACAGTGCTGCTAAAAGGTTGCCTACCCCTGGCCTATATCTTGGTAGGACAATGTCCCCATGTCTCCTACTTATGTGCCATTATATTTGCATTAAATACAATCATTTGCATATTGGATATTTTCATATAAAGTCTACCAATATATTTTCTCAAGTGCAGTTAATAAATTATTTTAATTTGAGCACCTATATAATTTGCCATTCTGGGCATTTTGTTTTTTGAGACAATAAAACATTTTTGCCCGGAAACGATGCTATGCGCAAATAAAAAAAAAACCAAAATAATAAAAATACGTTTCTCATAAACCTGTACAACACACAGGCATTTATTCCCCTTGTTCTTATCTTAGTCCATGAGTACTGTGTTTCTCTCTCTGCTTCGCTGGACTAATTGAATATCTAAACAAACTAATTAATCACAGGAATTCGTAAAAAGACGGACAGGTCTGGAGAGGTGATGTTCATCAAACCCCTCAATTTGTTTTTTAATCCCTGCAGCAATTTATTTGCTGAATATGCACATTTTCTCCCTTGAAATTTCTTTGCTACGGCCAAGGTTAACTGTATACAGCCTCATTCAGTATTTATGATTTTGCATACAGGAGGTTTTTTTTTTCCTTCTTCTTCCTATCTCAGAGTCAGAGAATCTGGGAGCATTAATCAAAAATAATGAATAAAATGATCCGTCTGACAATTCTCAAAGCCGCCTAGGTTTCAGGAGAATAACGAACTAACTTTATTAATCAACAGTTCCTGATTAATTGTTACAAAGTGTCATCCATAAATTTTTCTCCATTTTAATAATACTGGCTGAACACTAACAATATCCCTAGTGATTTCAGATTTATTGAGGCCTTGGCACACTGAGGAAGAGATGGCACTACATGCTACCCTTGACATTATGCTGGGTAGTTTGCTCTTTGATGCTACACTGTATAATGCTGCATTGACCCCCGGCTTCCCAAAGCTCACCCCCTTTTACACTTTCAGTATGTTCCCCTTTTTCTCTTAATCTCGGAAAGTAACAAGGTGTCCCACCTCAGAGGCAATGTCTCAGCCTTATCCTCTCAGACTCCCAAGCCTCCTTTTATGAATGATAAGGTATACCGGCACTACAAGCCATTAAAGATGACAGTTTCACTTTTCTACCCTAATTACTCGTTCCTGCCTATTTGGCATTTTCTTAGAAAAATTTGTTGAATAATGACCAGCATTAAAATGGAGGCTCTTAAGAATTTATATGCAGAGCTTAATTTATCATGTACATTCCTTATCGCGCGGCAGAATTTATATCCGAGTGTCTCTGCCTATGACAGCCTAGTCATTTCTTAAGGGCACAGTATTCAACGGTTATACCATTTAAAATGCAACCCTGTTTAATCAGAAAGAGTTGGTGATGGGTTCTTTGTGGATCGTGTTTGTTTACTGCGACTGCAGACATGACATAAGGCAATTAGCTCTAATTGTTTAACTCCATAGCCTTGCTGAGACAGACCAGCAAGAACTTTTGTACAATATCTTGTTGGTTGCCAGTTGATATAATGCTTTTGCATGTTTTACTTTTTATGCTCTCTCCCCTTTTGCATTTTATACGCTTATAGTAACATTGTGATGGGTCACGAGATATTTCCTGCCTGGAAGAATGAGTAGTATGAAGATATGAAAGGGAATTCAAGAAACATTTCCTTTGCCATATTTAAAACTTTAGTTCAGAATAGGATCCCCTTTTATTGAATACACAGAAATGGTTCAGTATATCAAGATCTTGGGGCAGTGGAACAAAATGGTGCTTTAGAGAACCAAGTTCATCAAAGACTTAAAGGTGGGCAAAGATACCTAAGAATGGTCTTAAAAATACCACACCATATCTATCCTGATATATTTAGAAAGTTACAATACTATTGCATCACTGCATAATTTTGCTAAATATTAAACTCATTCTTCAACTTGTATGAGTCACTGGAGGAGTGAATTATTATACTTTTAGGAAAATTTATAGTGGAAGGGAAGGATAAAAGAGGGGGATAAAAAACTTGTTCACCTCCAAAAGTCATGCATTTCTTGCAAATACTAATGATTTTCTGCTTCTGCATTGAACTCCCACACCAGAAATTTGCTAAAGCATCCCAGCCACCCCTGGTACTCCACTTTTTCTCCAATGAGAGCAAAGTAAATATCCCATAACCCCCCCCCACCCCACCACCCCATACCTAGCACTGCTGATTGTCCCATTAAAAAGAACACTCCAAGCACCATAACCACAACTATGCTACAAATATAAGCAGACTAAGCGTTTGCCAACACCTGGGGTCAGCTGGGCGCTGGTCACAGTGGCGTACACACCGCAGTCACAGAGGTTACAGCTGCGACCGAGCACAACACTCCAGGGGGCCGGCCACCCTGCGGACCCCTGCGACTGGGTACCAGGCCTGCTGCCACATTTTGCGGGCCCGGCCTGCGCGGCAAACAACCGGGGCCGCATATGGAGGGGTCCATCGGGTGGCCCATGCTGTCAGGGCCACCCGATGGATATGAATTGTAAGGGGGACCGGATCGGGGGAGAGAGGAGAGCACGGATCGAGGCTGGTCACCTCCTCTAGGAGAACTGGGTGTTTTCTTTTTTAAATGCAAAGCTACGTAAGTGCTACCCTCACGTGAAAGGTAAAAAAAAAATTGGGTTCACCTCTTGTCTCTTGCTAACACTTCTAATAGTTTGTTTCTTAGATCTTTGTATTACAATTGTATCTGAATCTTTGTATTACAATTGTAAAGTGCTTCAGGATCTGTAGGCGTTATATAAATGCCAAGAATAATATTGCTATTTTCCAGCAGTCACACCTTCCAGGTAATCTACCTTTTCTAGGTAAGTGTGAGCTCAGTGTTTCACTCCTTAGTTTTTCTTATAGAAGTTCTGTTACTTACAGACTCTTTAAATAATTCTCATTGCAAACTGTTTGCAATGTATTTGTGTTTAACATGTTTTGCCTTTCAGGAGATTACTGCTTGGTGTTTTAAACTCTCCAGCGCACGGTTAACGAATTTTAAACTCAATGCCTAGCTCGAGTGTGAGCACCTTCAATCTTTTCTGTATCCACCAGGAGTCCTATTATTTAGAATTTGAGTGCACCTGAGGGTGTGTTTTACATGTTTGTTTTATTACCCAGCACATTCATATATTATCTCTTTTACACTCCCTTTAAATGCTGAATTTACAATCCAATATCTTGTCTCTCAGCTCCCAACTTCAAAAGGAAATTAAAATACCAGGTACAATCACAGGGAATAAAACATAATGTAGGATATTTCTAAAACAATTAAAAATCAAAAGAATCAGAATGAAGATTGAGAGTTATTGATACTAAAACCAATCAATTAGTGAGCCATTAGTATGACAGTCTATACTCGAAACACATTTACAGAATATCACATGGGAAAACCGTGGCTCAGGTTCCAGTGATTCTGTTCCAGCAATACTGATGTCTATATACCATTAATTCTGTAATAGCAGTTGGCTCAATTTATTTATTACCATAACTACTGAGTCCTGGGTTCCACTGATTCCAGTCTGTTCTTGGTTTTATTTATTCTGCACCATCACAACTGTGGTCAGGGTTCCATTGATTCAGTACCAGCAGTACTACAGTCTGGGTTCCACTGATTAGGTACCATCATTTGTGCAGTTTGGGTTCTGCTGATTCCATACTAGAAGTACTACACTCTGAGTTCCATTGATTCGGCACCAGGAGTACTGCAGTTTTAGTTCCACTGATTCTAAACCAGCAGTACTGCAATCTGGGTTCCATTGATTCGGTACCAGCAGTTAGGCAGTCTGGGTTCCATTGATTTGGTACCAGCAGTTAGGCAGTCTGGGTTCCACTCGTTCCGTACCAGCAGCTAGGCAGTCTGAGTTCCACTGGTTCCGTACTAGCAGTACTGCAGTCTGGGTTCCATTGATTCGGTAACAGCAGTCAGGCAGTCTGGGTTCCATTGATTCAGTACCAGTAATTAGGCAGTCTGGGTTCCATTGATTTAGTACCAACAGTTAGGCAGTCTGAGTTCCATTGATTTGGTACCAGCAGTTAGGCTGTCTGGGTTCCATTAATTTGGTACCAGCAGTTAGGCAGCCTGGGTTCCACAGATTCGGTACCAGCAATTAGGCAGTCTGGATCCATTGATTCCATACCAGTAGCACTGCACAGTCGGTTCCACTGATTTTGTACCAGTAACACTGTATCCTGGGTTCCATTCATTCATTATACAGCGCTACGGAATTTGCTGCAGCTATATAAATAATAATAATAAAATAATAATTCATGATCAGTCATATTGTGGCCCATGTTCATTGATTATGTACCAGCAGTACTGGACGCTGGGTGCCATTGATTCAGGTCCAGTAATATTGCTGTTCCCTCAGTTTTGTAACTGCAGTTCTGTGGTCTGGGTTCCACCAATTCCTTACAAGCAGTACTGTGACCTGGGTCCAATTGATTCATTATCAGCCAGACTGTGGCCTGCGTTCATTGATTATGAACCATCAGTTGTGTGATTTGATTTAAAGTTACGGATTTAACACTGAATGGATTAGTAAGTTTGACTTTCCCTGCATGTCTAGGGCGATATCTTAAATATAATTATCTAGCTTTCCACAGTATAACATGGGATCTAATCTTTATTTGTTGGATTTTAAAACATTTATCACAGAATATATACTAGACTGTCATCATAGAGAATCCAAGTTAAAAAAATACTGCCAGAAGAACAGACTTAATCAATAACATGCTAGACACGATTCAAGAAAAAGGACTGCGTTTAATGCCAATTTGTCTTTCAGTGTCAGTTATTTTTCTTGATGTACTGCTTTACATCTTTTTCAAGAAACCGTTGATTTTAGCATTATTACTGAAGTGTGCTTAATACAAGGAAGAATTTCAATGCATATGTAAGCTAGGGAATAAAAAGTAAAGATTTCACACAGGAATGAACATACTGTAAAATGATGTCTTATAACGATGCAAACAAGCTGAGGTGCATACACCCTGACAGAAATTGTCATGTATCCGTCTCAACAGGAAGTGGCGTGTATGCCAACAGAAATCAATGTCAGTCAAACTCACATTTGATGATTCGAGCAAAGGATATTAACAACAATGAGGAATAGAGTGTTCAGAATTGCATGCATGCTTTCTGTTTTAATCACTGTCATTATTAATGTCAGGAAATCCATGAAAATTGAACTAAATGAGAAAAGGTGTGTATCATTAGTAAGTTTTTATTCCAGTTCCTTTGTTTTATGTAATTGGCAATCAAAATTTGTTTTATAAATATTTCATTTGATGCTGAAATAAACCTTTTTTGCATTTCTTGGTTCTGTCGTATGTTTTTTTTTTTTTTCTTTCTTTTCTAATGGAAGATGGTTTATAAGCACTTCTATGAACACATAATTCAGAACACAACAAACATATCGGAACGTATGCTCTACCTGGGGGGAAATCGGAAATGTATCTAATGGCTATCCGTGTATAACATGGACTGAACCCAAACTATAGAACAAAATAATTAACCGAGTCTTAAAGCAAAATTAAAAAAAAATGTATTTTGCTGCAAGAAAAGTGATGACCAATCAAATTGCCAACACTTTTTTATGGTACAAAGCATGGTTAGTAATAAAGAATGGGCAATGAAATAATGCTTGCTATCAGCTTCTTTTACCATAAGTGATTTTTGGACAGCTCCCCAATCTCCCATGTTCACATTAATACATCCTATCAAACAATTAAAGACGAGGATAGAGATTTAAAATCCAAGTTTCTATGGTAATTGGTAAAAACATTTTATTTTAAAAGTAGCATTGGGATACAATTGAGATAGACCCCCAATTAGGACACAGCTACTTAAAAAATGGAAATCACACCTCATCCTGTTTGCTATTTTATGATTGAAATAATTCATGTTTACATCGACCAGTTATATAGATAGGTGAAAGAGATATTGTTTCAATAAAGAAAAGATTTTGTGTGTGAATGAATGTGTTTGTAGATAGACACTAATATACATTTCTTTCAACAGTAAAATATGTTAATTAGAACACACTCTCCTTGCTTTCCAACAAACTGCAGCCAAGGTAAAAATATGCAAAACATGTTTATTTTGCGGTCTGTTATAATAGCAAAATAGGACGTTATAAATAGGACAGGCTATACTGATCATTTTATCCTTTATATTTTCAGAACTATTATCTCACACTGAAAATCAGGCAAGAAGGACACAACCATTTATGAACGGACATGAGGTTTGTAGGGGAAACGTACACTAAAATAAGGGAATAATGAGTCTAAATGTTTGTAATTATAAGGTTTAGTTCTTTACATTAAAAAAAGATCTTAATTCTACAATTTTCATGGCACTTTTTCCTTTTGAAATAAAAAAAGAAGAAAAACCGTGACAATCCTCTAAGCCTCATGTGGCACAGGACATTTTGTGACCTAATTACCTGACAAACTAACAGGGGGTGCTTATTAAATTGACAACACGTTCGTTGTTTAAAGCAGAATAATGACATTTGCGTTGCGTTGTCAATCTCAGATTGTTGTTATCACACTGGCCTCCCAACCAAGCCAGTAAAAAAAAATTATAAAAAAAAAAATGTAAAAATAAAGCTACATTTAAAAAGTATTCCAGAAAGATATGTACCTTTTAAAGCAGCGAACATAAATCCTTCTTTCGGTGATTTATCTTGGTAAAAAATGAGAGCTTTTAAAATGTGAAGTTTAGAAGTGGTACTGGGTATGCTACAGGGCTCCCATTCATTATACTAATAAAATTCCATAAAGCCGGGAATAACCGCTAGAGGGTTTTGTTACTTGCAGACAAGTACAATGACAGACACACATTCTATATCTCTCAATAGCAGGCAGATATTATCAGTTGAGACAAAGCGAACAAAATGTATGACAATCATTCACTCTTCATCGTGTAGA